CGGCTCTTTGGTCCTGCAAAGGCGACCAATGTTTCTGTTGCCGTCGATGCAATGACTGAGAAGCTCTTGAGCTTGGGGAGCCAGCATGTGGCCTCCGTGGTGTGGTAACTGACCTGAGGCGGTGGGGTCAGGTCGGCTCTCCTCCGTCATGGTCAGTGGTCCAAGGACGAACTTGCAGAAGGTCAGGAAGGAGCAAAAAGAGGACGAAGCTGCGTTCGTCAACAGAGTGAATAGACCCAAAATCGGTTGATTTTGGTGGTGTACTTTGTTGAGGTCAACATGCTTGGATCGTGAAGATGCCAACAAATGAATTCTCCATCTTCGAGAAACCCTTGGGTACAAGAGACTAAACGCATTTGTTGTGTCGACCATTGTTTAACCATGTCTAGCATTTAGGAGGGAGCGAGTTCGGGATCCAGATGGAATCCAGAATCACCGGGAGCTCCCAAAACACTGGCTAGTTGTTCATGCGATTCCTCACCCGGATGTATTGGTCAACACGGGCGACCAGCTGAGATCAATCTGAGATCACTCTGGAACCGACGTCGACACGTGTTTGTTCTTTCTTTTCAAGGGTTTAGAGTGGGGTCTTAAGACTTCCGTAGCCATTCTATGGGTGGACACTCTGAGGAACGGATCACTTGGAAGTGGAAGGCATGGCCCCGAGAAGAAGACGTCTTTCCTTTACGACATGCTCCGAGACATTGATTGTGTGCGACCTTTCTCTTGAGAATCACTGATCTGACTTGGCTCAAGGCACACCGAAGTGCCCATGAGTTTGTGGAGTTTGTCAAGGGGACTATGTTCCCAACCTGATTTTGTTTCCTGGAGTAAATGTGTGTGCCATGTCAGGGCTATCCCTTTGTCCTCCTCGAAAGCTGCTGGTGATTGAAAGAGGTGTCATTGACTCAAACTGTATTCGTGGTTGCCCCCTCTCTCAGCTTACGCCACAACGACGAGGTTGTGTTCTTGAATGGGTTGCTCAACGTATCTTCGAAAGACGTTGCCCGGATGCCATGATCCAAGATCCGATTCCTGGTGAAAGATGTGAGGGGAGGAGGTGAGGAGCCAACACTGCTGAGTACGACTGGCTATGTCATGGCAGGAAGGTGCAGTGCAAGTCAGGTCAAATGCGTTGGGCTGAAGGCTGAATCACACAAAAACTGGCCAGGGCAGTTCAGCGGAATCAAGCTCTCCTTGTTTGATGAGTTGGTATTGGTCCTATACACTGCATTTGGGCTGCACTTCTTCACACATGATTGCAAAAGGGGGCTTTCAACCTGCGCACTATCCTGGCTGGGTCATATGACTGCCCACAGGTCATATGACTGGCGTAGAGATGGTTTGTGAATTGAGTGCAAGCACTCGAGGCTGCTGTGGTCTCAGGATTGCTGGCGCTTAAGTTTCATATGTAAAGTTCGACAAGTTTGATGCATTGTACTTGGCATTGGACTCTCCACATGCACTTCAAGAGCACTTCATAGTACTTCATATTTTCAGATATTCTGGTTCCAAGTGGACTGCATCAAAAGGGCTGGCTGAGAAGCGAGAGGGAAGCAGATTCGGGTGTTTGGTCGCGCGAAGGAAATCCATATCTCTCTTGCAGTAGATGTTACAGTATCATTGAGAAGCTTTTGAGCACTGGCAGTAAGTGAGTGAGCATTTGGCTGGGTGGTGTGGCAAGGAATAGAAATACATTCAGAAGCAGCTTTTGGTAGTGAGTTCCAAGTACGTCCTGCAGAATTACAGGTGCAGTACCATCACCTGTCCTAGGCCATCCATCTTTGAAACATTGAGCAAGGATGAACAAGGCGTCCACTTCTTTTGCCCAGCTTAGAGCTTGCCAGGATTCTCACACCCAGAGCGAAGGTTCAGCCAGGACTTGACATCCAGCCAGGCTCATATTAAGGCTCAGGTGTTTCCTTTGGAACTCCAAAATGATACCCTCAGTGGACCAAGGCCAGTGAGAAAAACCAGCACCCCGCGGGCTCCGCGTCAAGCTCCTCGACGTAGCTTTGTTCCGTCTCGACGGCCAGGGCTGGGATGCTTTCCTGGGCTACGACGGGCGGCTGAGCAAGGCCACAGATCAGGCACCGGCGACCGTATGGCTCCCAGGAGCTTTGCTTTGATATAATATAGTGCACGTATGTATAATTATGCCATAATCTGCCAAATGAAACACATCCAACAGTTTGTTGTTGAGTCTTGCGGTGTGTCACTCCAGTTCGCCGATCATGGTCACCAAAGCTTTAGCCTCATCATTCACGACATACTCCATTCTCTACACCTTGAACAGAGTCTTGAAAACTGCAAGAAGGGACAATGTTTCCATTGGTGAAGGATGTCCTAGAACTCCTCCACCTACCGCTTGATGATTCATGCATGTATGTGTCCGCTTTGGATGAACTTGAACCATCTTGAGCCCGACAACATGAACCCAGAGTCACTTCAAGTGGCACATCTTCCTCTTCCCTCCATCACCCCATCCTATTCGGCGGACAACCTGGCTGTGCAGGTGTTCACCTGCCGTGTAGGCTTTCGCCCTGGCGGCACGGTCAGCCTTGAGGGCGAGAAGGGACGTTTCCTGCGGCACCGGGAGGGGCGCTTGGAGCGGCTTGGTGGGCAAAGCGGGCAAAGCTGCAGGGAGGGGAAGAGGTGTTTTCGAATCCAAGCTTGCAGGAGGTGGCCCCAAAAACCAGCAAACTCCACATCACTGAGAGGATCTCAGAGGTTTTGGGGTGCAGCGGGGGGGTGTACCCAAATCAAGAGGTGTCTTGAAACACTTCAGTATCTTTTCTCTTCGGTTTTGGGAGGTCAGCCACTTCTCCCCCCAGAAAAAAAAGACGCACCTTCGCACCTTGCACATCCTTGCACCCCAAACAAACCTTCCCCAAGGCTCTCGGCACCTGCCAGTGGCTCTTTCGCTGCGGACGCCACCTGGATGGCGTTGCCCGGCTTGGCCGCGGGCGACGAGCTCCGGGTGTCGCTGCGCGCCGTGAACTTTCCGGAGCGACGCGGCTCGTCGAGCCGTCCGTCACCGAGCCGGTGTCGGTCGGTCAGCGCGGTGTGTCGGTGGCCAAGATGGCCGGAGGTGGTCAGCAGCGGCCGGAAGCATGAATTGAAATCCAAGATGTTTGACCATGCCCTATGGATCCACTGCCACCGAACCGAAGATCATTGGACCCGACAATGGCTGGCGCATATTCCTAGTCTCCCAGGTTCGGTCTGTGGATCCGTAGGGCCTGGTTGTTTTGGAAGGTTTTTGAGACTTGCACCTTCAACGGAGTCTCCAAGGGACCAATAGACTGCCCTCCACTACTTGAGGATCTCCATGTTCGGACCCCTGCATTAGGTTCAGGTAGGCATAGTGGTATAGGCATTTGCAGTGTTATTCACTGGCACCCCTGCATGTCTTTTAGATGGGGTTCCATATAAACCACCAAACTGCCGTGCCATCTACTCTGAAACCACTGCAGATGGATGTGGGAGGGTGACACCACTCAGCAGACACCGGGTGTTTGCAGGATTCCTATGTCCGGCACAAAGATGGAGAGCTCTTCAGTGGCTTGGCGAAAGGGGGTTCCGGTGTCAGCTCAGAACTATCAGGGCATTGGCTTGGTTGTTTCGATTATAGTTACATATAGTTCTCAGCAGTTGGGGCAGTCAACGTTTGTGTTTTTTCTAACATTTCTTGACCCAGTGAAGACTTGGGCATCGAGTTCTTGATAAGTTGTTGACTCCTTTTGTTTGCTGGGGGGGGGTTGGTACTGGTAGCCGCTTCCTTGATCCCAAGCAGGCAACAGCTTCGAGATGAATGAAACCTTCCTCCTGGACGCCACCTGGATCGTGGATGCTTGGCGGGGATCTGGGGAATGTCGTCAAACATGTTTGCCAGTCGAATCGAGGGACTGGCCAGAACCCTTTGCTGCCCTGCATGGCCACGGAGTATTCGACAGGAAGACAACTCGTCAGATGTCGCAGCTCAAAGAAAGGAGTATATATAACAAACTAATTGGAGGACTCGAACCACAACAGAGAGTGATGAATATATATATATATATATATACCTCAACAGTTGCTCGTAAGTACATGAAGAACGGACTTTGGGGCGGATTTTCTAGAGAGCCCCAAGTTGCCATGTTGCAAGACATTTTGAGCCACATCCAACTGAGGAGCAGGTTTGAATGGCACAGCCGGACTGTATCGCGGCGTCTTCCTCGAGATCACCTCGACCGTCTTCTACTGCGTAAGAATAGGCCGTGCACGTGGGTGGTGATTAGTTGGGAGATGATGAAGCGTGTGGCGGAGAAAGTCACCTGCCATCTCTCACGCTTGGACCTTAGGACTTGGGCAAGAAATGCCTCGAGGATGGCAGGGACCGGACCTTCCACGCGGATCCGGCAGGGACCGAGCGCAGTGGGATCCGGTGTCGGCCGAGCTGAAGCTTAAGACTGGAGCAGTTGAAAAAGAATGCAGGCTGAATCGTTGGAGGCTGAAGCTACTGAAGTGATGGGAATTGTCATTGGCACAAAATCGAATTGGGCTTAAGACTGGCAGCTGTTGGATTTGAGCTATGAGGATGTGGGTGGCAACCAGGTGAAACTTTTGAAGGGATATGTAGGGATTTTGCCCCTACCTGTGTGGAAGAGCCTTGCAAAAATATGGTCCAAGAAACCAGCTCGGGTTGGGTGGCCATCTGTTGCCATGGCACCATGGAGCTGACAGCTTCAACGTCATTGTGATCAAGTCTTCGACAGGTCAAGAGAGGTCTATGGAATGCAACAACCAAACCAACATGATCAAGCTCTATACTGATTCATTGGAAATCGCCTTGGATTCCACCACCCAATATAGTTCAACGCAACATGTCGCTCATACCTATAGTTCAGCTTAGAAGCAGGCCTTTGTTTTGAGCCTTCCAACTTCCGACCTGCCCTGAACAGCTCTTGAGGGACTGCGTTTCCGCCTGCTCTTCTCCAGCGACGAGCGTTTCCACCCAGGTCCAACAACGTGCAACGGAACATCGTGGTGCACCAGCAACAGACTCTTGGCGGCGAAAGGCACGCCCAGGCGTGTATCAAAAACCGGGAGACTTGCCAGTTCGAACCCCTGGAAGAAAGAACATAGACCAAAACCATCCAAAACCCATTGGTTGGGGATCTCTCTGTATTAAAATAGACACCCGCATCAACATTCCCAGCCATTTGTTTAACGCTTTGGGCTGCTCTTGTGACAATGGGTCAATCCTATTTGCCTGTCACGGTCTAGCAAACCCCCAACCAAGCCAGGATGTTATAGCTGTTATAGTAGATTGTCATCACATGTCAATTCTTTCCAACTATACCCTACAGGTCAGTTTGACCGCATCTTACTGGAGTTGGTGATACAAGTTCACACTACTCAAGTCTCAAGGAGGTAAGGGAGCACAAAGAGCAGGTTTGGACCCGGGTCAGATGGGACACTTGTAGGACAGCCTGGCACGCAAACAGTTGATTTTTGCCCGACCTCATCGGTGCAAAACCTCCTGACCTCATCCACCCCTTTTGGCGCTGAATGTAGACTCTCAAACGATTGATTGACACACTCCCACCATTTTGGATTGAAGCAAATACCTTCATCTTTGAAGACTGAGCACGTGTCTTTTGCCCATTCTCACCTCGGTTTTTCCCACGCAAGAACCTGAACAAGACCCCCCCCCGTCCCTTTCGGCCTCCCCTCGGAGCGGATCAGGAACGACCCGAACTTCACGGGGCCGAAGAAGCCCCAAGGAGCTGCGCCTGCCGTCCGCCGTCCGCCGTTCGGATCGCGCATCGGGTCGAGGCTTCGGCCGCCGCGGTTTAGCTCCGGGCTTCGGGTGCGGAGATGGGTGGATGGACCCAACCGTTTGATCGGTTGATCCGGTTCAACTCGGTTCTCGCACCACTCACTCTTTGAGGTGGGCCGATTGGCGACCAACAGCCTAGTCGCAATGTTTGGCCAGTGCCTTTACAAAACCCACGCTATGGCTATGTGCAGTGTTTTGTGGTGTGTGGAGAGTGAAATTCATACCCCCCCACAGCACCCCTTCTGAAGAGCCCCTGGTGTATATCAAAGAGAAGGATACAGTATTTTTTGTTCACAGACCTGGAGATCGAGTTGCTGACATTGTATCCACTGAAGCAGCTTGGGTACGGAAACTGAAGCAGCTTGGGAATATCGGGTTCATGACCCACATCCGGCACTAAAATCCTGGCCCGTACGTTCGCTACTTAATTATATTGACGCACTTTGGGCCTCACCGTTGACCCCTCTCCCTGGGTCCCTGGGTGTTTTTTGTTCCATGCACCTTCTTTCCCGCACTTTGCGGAGGATATCGAGTCTCACAATCTCCTGGGGGGCCCAGCTCCATTAACCTCTCCTGGAACGAGGTGGCTGCATGGGCGTTTTTCGATGCGACTCGGGGTGGATTCGTGTATAGCTTAGCCACAGGAGTTGAGCATGTCACACATAGTTCGGAGAAGTTCAGATGCAGACTTGGCATGACTTGGTACACTATTTGCAGGAGTGGTGCCTGTTTGTTCATTAAAATCAAGTGATACTTTTTGGTCACATGCGGTCGTTCTGAAGATCAACATGTTTAAAACACCTGCAAAAACATGAGTTTGCCACCCTGTTTTTTTTCTGGAGGTTGTTTCTGAATGACAGTGCTGTGCTGTTTGGGGACGTATTGGAAGGCTTGTTGAGTAACATGCAAGTATTTGTCCACGGGTGCATCTCAATCAGATTGCCTTCAAAGATCCAAGGCAACAGGAGAACTCCTTGGCGACTCCTTGGTGGTACACTTGCCACATCAAATTGCCACAGGACACCCCACATTCTACGGGCTACAGGTTTTGTCTATATTGCTACAGGCTACAGGCTTCTTTCCTAGACCCACCAGAGATGGTCGAACACCCCTGAACCTCTAAGCGGCTATCTATGGCTATCTCATAGCCGGTATGTCATGTCTCTTTTCGTCTCATGATCATCCCATCATGTGAATCATTCCGATGCACTGCGATTTGCTAGACCATGTTAGACCAGTGCAAGTATGCGTAGACGTCTGTAGACGTCTATAGACGATGTCGCACCCTATGGATCCACGGTAACCGCACCACTGTTCTGTAGCTTTGGAGGTTCGTACCGCACCAGCTGCTGATAAAACGGGTCACCTGGCTGGACAAGCCTACTTATATATAGGATCTATATATAGGTCTCCAAATTGGACACCCAGGAAGCAAGCGCGTTTGGAACCTGAGAAGGTATGTGGACATTTGGGATCCCTAAGGCTACAAGCCAAAACACCGCGCCGCGAGCCAGGCTCCCAACCGGGCTCCGTCGCCCGCACGGGTGGCCAAGCCGGAGGTGGGGGACCTGAAAAACGGGTCGCTTTGGCCGTGGCGAGGAACGGGAGCGAAAACGGCGAGCGGGGAGCGAGGGTGTGAAGAGCGGTTTGGGGGGGATCAGCTTGGAGGGCTTCGAATGAGTGCTTAGATGGGCTTATAAGACTTATAACTTACAACTCTTTATATAGATTTGGCGCATCAAATGTGGTGTTCATAGATGATTTTGGCACAACCCGGACACGACCTGTCTGGGACCGGCATATGACCCGCGATCAGGGCAGGGGTGGTTTTAAGTGTTCAATCTGGTCTAATATTCCATACCTAGGCCACCGGGCCATGGGCGGGTGTCTAACAATAGCTCCTTAGAGGTTCAGGGGTGTCCATTAACCACCCCAAGGCCCGGGGGCCCTGGTACATGGAGTGTTTGGGAATTGTTTCTTAGCTGGATTGGGTGGCGCGGCAAGTTGACCCGCCTGCTGGGAATGGCCAGGCAATGGCGCCCGCCGGGCGGGCGCCTTCGCCGCAGTCCCGCTACGAGGTGTCGGCACTGCGAGTGAACAGATTATTAGTTTTATCATGATGGATGGATCATTAAACCATTTATCTATCCTGTCATTTGTTCAAAGCAAACTGGAGGCCGGAGGCGTTGGTTAAAGCAACTGTATATAATCTACAGTCGTTGGCACCAGCGAAACAGCAAGGATGGGACAAGGATGGACGAGGTATAGTTTGCGGTTAGTAGTTATGGAGACAGAGAATCAATTGATGGTAAGTTCAACTCGCTACGTGGACTCGCAGTGGACTTGGACTCGTTCGGAGAACTTCAGGAATCCCAAGCTGTTGGGTTTTCCTCATTGTGAGGAACGATGAAAAGGGGGTCCAAGTGAAACATCCGGACCATATTTGTACAGTTCAACCAGCTTACGAAGTGATCGAAGGACTAGTGAGGAACCAAAGAAGCAACACCTATTCCACAGACGGTATGCCAAGCACATGGGGCACATTGGAGTGTTTGGGGACATCCACTTTACAGAAACAACCTCCATGATTCAAAGCCTCAAATGGAAATAGAGTGGAATTCCAGCACCTGGAGGGCTGCCTTGACATCCTTGCCAAGCAAACCTGCAGAACCTGGAGGGCTACGACCCTCGCATGCTGCAGACCCTCTCATGGTTGGTGTTTGACCCTTCACAGGCGCCGGTCGGTGGCGCTCGTGGGGCCTCCCCTGCACGCATGTTGGAGGCACATGGACGGAAGGGAATGTGAAGGCATGCGGCATGCGGTCGTGAATCCCACGGCCTGGGCCTGGTGCTAGGCTGATATCGTGTTAGTTCCCCATGCGTGAATCCCCTTCAGGAAGAGATGTTCGATATGACTTCCTTGTTCCTTGTCGCTCTTAGATGACTACCGTGCTGTTCCCCGCGGTGACTCAGTCCTTTCTATATAGTAGCTGTGTATGTCCTTGCCCCCCAGGCGCAGGTGTTTGGAGGTCGTCCTTTCGGTTTGGACTCGCCCGGTAGGAAGCACTGGCGGATTCACAGCCATAGAAACAACAACGCCACGCCACCCTGACGTGCTGGAATGTCCGCGTCATCATTTGGAATGCTCCAGAAATGCGCACGGGAAATGGGTCAGTTGCGTGAGAGGCCTATGTTTCTGACGATTCTGAAGATGGCTCGTTGTGCCTTCCTTCCAAGGTCCGTGGTCGCTTGAGGCCAGAAATCCGCCGCCGAACGAGATGACCTAAACGCAAAGACCTGCTGCTTGCAGGTGGTTCATCCAAGCCGCTTGCCTTCTGGCGTGGCCGCTGTCCCTCAGGAGGCGGGACCTCAGGCCATGTTTATTATATTTTGTTCGAAAAGAGAATGTGGAGATGAGGGCCAGGGAGAAGGTGGTCCTTTGAACACGGCTATGCCTGGTGTTGCTTAAGGAGATCTTATTTAAATATATCCCTATGAGTAAATCAAAAGGGGCGTATTCTTTTTCCACGGATCATCACGGATCCTTCAGCAAATCCAAGTGTGTATGCATATGTCAATAGTTTCTTTTGTTCCAGTTTAAGATGATCTTCGGCCTTTTGCGTCACAACCAAGAAAGACCCGCTGCTTGTGGCTTGCAAGAATCCCCCAAAGCGGGGGGGGTCCTTACGAAAGCTCATGAATTCGGAGTCTGAAACCCGGCCTTGCCTCGACCATCCCGTTTCTCGGATGTTTCGACTCGGCGGCAACGACCATTTTCAGGAAAGTATGTTCACCTCCGTTCGACTCATCCGAAGCACGTAGGGTTGCTGGACCCTTAGTGTATGGGCTGCTACTGGTTGGTCGACGAGAACTGATGGCTGCATTTGTGGTAAGAATGGCTGGTGAAGATTCGTGTCTAAAAGCCTGGCCGCTTTAGGCCAAGTGTTGGATCTACTGTAGGGTCCAAGTACGGTGGTATCTGTGGATCTACTATATTTTCATGATCTAGGATCTACTGTAGGCCAAGTACCTCCTCAGACATTTGGACCCTGGCACCCACCTCAAACACCTGCTCGGAATACTTGGAGCCCTTGGGAGTTCTCTTTTCACGATGTCATTTTGATTTGTCTGACTTTGTTGGTGCTGCAATCCTCCCAACTGGGAAGCCCAACTGGGCGGCTTTGGGGCGGCTCTCCCAGTCACTGTTCATGATGAGTTTATGACGGTTGACGCATGGGCCACAGATACCATCGATGCTTGCTACTACAGGCTTATACAGTGGATTGAGAGTAGATGATGTAGATGGCGCAATCCCAAAATTCGATATGGACCCCCACCTAAAAGATCCTAAAAGTCATCTTGGGGTGCCAGTGCCATCTACTCTGAAACCACGCGCAGCCAAATCATCCTTGCTGCAATTGCTAAATCAATCATCTCAAAATTCAGGACATCGTGACGCGCAGCGAAATCATCCACGATCCAAGTTCTGCACTCCGACTGCAGGCTGCGTCTCCCGCCGGAGTGGGCGTACGTCAACCCTCCCCAGCGAACGGGCGCTACGAACGCTACGAGGCACAGAGCAAAAGAAAGTCAACCTGACATAGTTGGGTGACAAGTTGGTTGTGAGAGCAAAAAACGACATGTATAGAGTGTTTGAGGTTTGGGTCCCAGTGTATGTCCCAGTGGACATACTACCCCAAATAAGAGTAATTCTCAACGGATCCCCCCAAATGGTGACCTGGTTGGAAGGGTTCTTGAGAAATCCGTCCCAAAGACATCCTTCCCCACCCACTCAATCCGCTTTTGGGCGATGCGGCTCCGTTATCAATAGGGAGTGACCCCTTACTGATACTGAAGAGGATCCAGCCACCCTCAGAACAATCACCCGAAGTCCTGCACTGCAGGGTGCTGCCGGCCTGGCTGGTCCTCCAGCCCAGCGACACCCCTGCTATGGGGATCCGCAGGCGGTTCCACCGGGCGGAAGATCTGTGAATTTCCGCAGGGAGGACTACCCTCCCCAACATCTTCCAACAATTCTTGGTACCCCAAGCATTCTTGGGCCTTCCATGGCAGGGGTCCGGACCCTCCATAGCAGGGGTCCGGACCCTCAAAACCCTATGTAGTTGAGGGCCCAGATTCTTAGGGTAGAGGATAAAATAGGGTAGTGGATGGTAGTGGTATGTAGTGGTCATGACCTACTCGAAATCCGGTTTTGACCAAGGGGGCGTGAACGAGGAAACGGTCGCACAGTCTGCGGGTAGAGGAACATCGGTCCTTCCAAGGGGCCCAAAACATCCACTTCCATGATTGCAGTCAGAATCCTATAGAAGTGACCAACAGATTTAGAAGACTAGTTGAAGGTCTTCGGATTGTCGGTGTTCACCCGGATAGTTGAGGCCCTTGTTTGAAGGCCGATCTTCTTTCTTGGCGTAGTCCCGAAGACTGTCTTCTTGGTATTAATGGTGTATATATTCATGTTGTTCATGTTGCAGATCGACCCTGCGCGTTGCGTGTTTTCTATGGGAGGGGTTTGCCACGGGGATTGCTATGCTGCGGATGTTTGAATGGCAGTCTAGTCCTCCACTGAGGGCTCTAGGGCTCCAATAGCTAATCCAATAGAAGTCCAACAGGGTCAGTAACTCACCGGAGCAAGTGTTCCAATCTTGACACCCCGGATGCATCTCTTCCTGAATGAACTGGTCAGATGCATCTCATGTTTGAAAACAATCTCAAGATCAACATGGAGTTTGTAAGTGAGGAGGACATGAGACATGAGACAGGAACTTAACTGATTCGAGGTGAGGATCAAAGCCAGGATAACTCATTGAAACTTACCAGGGCCATGCTTCTCCCTTACAGCTTTAACTCAGAGGTCGTTTTCAAGAGTACTATGCTGCAGCCTACCGCTCCGCGCAAAAAGGCCCGAGAATCACCTCTAGTGCCGGTAGGCGCATCCAGGCATCAAAGCAAATGCCGAACAACGCCCAAGCACGATGTCAAGAGAGAAGAACGATTTTGGAAACACGACAGCCCGCGACTCCCGTTCCGGCGATTTGCCGGCGATGTTTACTCCGTTGATTTGCACTACAGCAGCGCATGCCTGTTTCAATGCAGGAGGACAACTGAATGTTTTGCCAACTGGCATCCTTCTGTATAGCCACAGTTGTTGTCATTGAGCGTGGGAGGCTACAGGGCTGTTCTCCAGCAGCTTTGGTGGGCGCAGTGACTGAGCCGGACTCTAAGGACATTGCAGCTTCTCGGCGTAAAGTGAGGGAGCCCAACTCAGCGAAGGCGCTAGGCGCTGTGCCTCTGAAAACAATTGAAGATCGGAGCTCTTGCTTGTAGGTGTGAACATGGCAAAGGTATCCTGTCTCTGAGCGGAAAGCGGAAAACCGCATGCCAACGGCTCACATGCACGACAAACTGATGTTCAAAAAACAATGACAATGAAATAAATAGACCCAAACATCTCAAAAGAAAAACGTTGTTGGCTAGTTCCAGAATAGCTATCAAAGCACGATGACAAGAAGCATCAAATTTTCGCTAGTGTAACCAGTTGCCGAAGACCTCCTACAGCATCTACAAGGTTCTATAGTCAGATTCACCATCCATGTTGCTAGATGTGTGAGTATTCTAGCTGCTCTCCAATTTGATGCGACTGGACATCCAGCCCACGCAAGCACCGGGAGCTTTGCGTGCGCCAAGCGCGCATGCGCTCAAAATCACTGCCAACGACAATGCTCGCCTTGGCCGCTCGCGGCCACAACGACACTCTGGATCGGGATAGTCCTGGAGTTGGTCAGGGACCGCGGATTCCATGCCGGATCCACTGCCACCGTACCGACCTGGTTCGGTACTTGGGACACGACCTCCTGGCGCCTATACATAACACTGTCAAACACTGCTCACCGTACCGACCTGGTTTGGTGGCAGTGGATCCATAGGGATGGAACATCCGGGTACAGCAGACAGGCTTCGCTTGCCTTCCCGGGGGCAGAGAGTGATTCCACCGGTCGGTTTGCAAGCAGCTTGCGGATGGCGTGAAGTTGTGCACCGGACACAAGGCTGCAAAGGGCAGCCTTGGCTCATTTGCTTCCTTGCTGTGCGCCAATCGAACATACGTATGAACTTGTTCGCAGTACACCTGCTGAATCTTAAATTCCTTGGAAGGACAGTGTTCCGGAAGGGATGTTCCGGCAGAAGGCTAATGACTCGAGTTCACTGTCAATGTGTTTCGAGCAAGCTTTGTGGAAGTTGTGACAAGGAGGCCGCAGCACGCGACCGTCAGATCCAGAGGCTCCTCAAAAGTTTAAATGCAACTATTTGTAGTAAAGTGGGTCGTCCCTGTTTAGGGTGAAACCCGTTGTTTTGAGAACGTTTCTCATGTTCATCAAGAGATTCTCTTGTTCCCGATGTCCGATGTCTACTCGTGCGCACCGGTGAGCCTGCGAACGTGTACGAAAACAATCAAAATTTCCTCGCACAACTGGAAGACTGCATTCAAGTCGTTCATGACCACATTACACTCAAACTGACCTCCTTCTCGATGCAACTTTCCCTGCGGTTTTATGCATGTTTCATCATGTTTCAACCAACCATGCAGACTGCCGTGTTTTGCTTGTTTGCTTGTTTGTGGTTGTACCTCGTTGTTTTCCTTAGTGTCTTTTTTGGCTCTTGTTGTTTTGATAATGGGTCACGAGCATGTCTTCAAGTCAAGTGGTTCCTACCCACTGTGGTGTTGTATGCCTGTATGTGAAGCAGCTCCCAGAAGGGTTTACAGCCGGAAAAACCGGAGAACCTCTCCAGCAGGTGCATGCGGGCGGTGCGGCTCCACGAGCGATGCCCAGCTATGATCCACAGGCGGTGGCAGCACGAGCGATGTTGTAGGTGTTGTGTGAGGGTGGTAAGAACCAGAAGGTTGTTAATGATGCTTTCCGCAACTAAGGGGTTCTAGAAGGGGTGTGGTACTATTCTCATGTTCTGGTAAATATTTACAGACGATACTACATCAACGAGCTAGATGGTAAGCGCTCATCAGGGTGGCCCAGGCAAGACTGCCATCAAAACGTCCAGTGCCCGGCATTTCGGTACCTGAAAGCCTTGAATGATCTTGGAATCAAAAACCACCTGATCCACCTGCCGAGGCAGCCGGTCTAGCACACCCGCCTGCTGGGCGACACCCCTGCTATGGTGACCCGCAGGCGCCGCGGTCACCCCCCGGCCGTCCCGGTCGGCGGAAGGAGCACGGGAAGATGGTGTCCAACTCGTGTATGTTAACCAGGATTCCAATCTGGATAGTTGGATAGTTTAAGATGTTTAAGTGCTTTGTCAACTCAGTTGGAGATCGTGAAGGTTAAAGCTCACTTAGACTTTGAAGAGCTTGAGGGTATGGCTCGTTATCGTGCCCTTCAGTTGTTTTCACTGGAGTTTCTTTCTCTCCACAATACTGTCAGTGAAGAATTTCACACCAAGTGTGCTTTTTTTCTCCAAAATAAGAAGGGCTCTCCTTCGAAAGAAGTTGGAACGTTGTGTTCTGACGACTTGGCGTATGTTGACATTCTTGCCAGTGGTTCGCTTACCCGGTCTCGCGTCGTCGGGTGACTCACTTGATGATCCCATCTACCTGGAAAAGCTTTGGCAGTGGATTTGTAGCTTGAAATGGAGTAGACAGATGTTAAGGCTCCCCAGCTTTGCAACACCTTCATGGCTAGAGCTTGGTTGGAACTTTTGTAAATATTCTGGCTTCGGCTTGAGTGTTGGCGGTAAGAACAAATCCAGATTCGCATATTGCGTTAGGAATGTTAAAGGTAATGAGTTGGCCAAGCCTGCCCCTATTATCGCTCAGATTCGTATGATGGCAAGCGCGGTTAGGACCTTTGAGAGGAACCTGGGATCGTCCGTGTTCCCGGCTGAACTCGCGGCCTTCTCGTTCTGGCATAGGGGCCAGGTGTGTTTTTGAGCACGCTGCAGTTTCCGCCTTCCAGGCTTTTCTTGCACAACTTCCCGCTAAGGGACCACTTCGCAGCACTTTCCCAGATTAATTGGCCGATTTGTCTTGAGGCATTTCGTGTTGCTCATGCAGCACCCTCTTAACTTAGAGACTGTTTGCATGTAAGTTCGTGCACGCCCAGGTCCTATGCTCTTTTCGCTCGCTCACTTCATTCGTAGTTTGCCGTTTCGTGTCTCATTGTGGTCAGGCATTAGTGTCCGCCGCCTTCCGGCACCTCGTTAGTAGCAACTCTACAATTTGTCTGCAGTCTGGGCTGGTTTGAGAGGCCCTGTGCGGTCATATGTTCTGAGACAGTTTTGTAGGGTGGTGAGTCGAGGGCTAAAGCAGCTAGCTGCACACTGGAAGCAAATGAAATGATTGGCAAGTTTTTGTTGACAGGTGTTCCATTGATATTGATCGAACTTTTTCTGGATCGGGCGCCGTGTGTGAATGTATCCTTGTGGGTAAGGAATGGCCACCTATAGCTGTGTTGCGCAGTGGTGAGCAAGGTCGCGCCACATGCTTGGGCGCGAAGCACCTTTGCAAGTGTAGGATGAACAAAAGGTGAAGAGTTGAGCCTCATTGATGATTGGGCTTGCAACCGTGCGGGATCGTTGTTGTTTGATCGACCCCGCAGGGTCTTTAGCTCAGGTGCACCTTTGAAGCGAGATCAATTTGCGCATGGGTGACCATCACCGAAGACCCCCTATACCAGTTTCCTGCGCTAAGTTTCCATTAAATAGCTGAAGGCGAAGCTGGCAAGTCCTTGTACCGACGCGTCCGAAAGTTTGCCCTGCAGTGTGGCCTTCTGACCACAACCAAGAGTTCCAACTGTATGTCCGCGGCAGGCTTCTTCAACATCTTGCTGGAGTCCTTTGGCAAAGAGTGTTCTCCACTCAACCGTCGAAGAGGCGGCTGACTAGGAAGACCATGGAAAACCAATCTCACGCGAGCTCGCCTAGATCGCCAGCTGCGCGGGAAATCCGTGCAATGCTCATTGGCATCGCCTTGGTTTGGCACATGCATGTATGTGCAGATGTGGCATGAGCGCATCCTTTTCAAGTCAGAAGCTGCAAGCTATGAAGAACACAAGGCTTGGAAGAACAACTCCACAAGAGTTGCTTGGCCCAGGGTTTGCATTTGGTTGCGTTTGCTCATCCATCCCCTGCTGCAGGTGCGCTTGAGGGAGATGAGAAACCTTATAATCATGTGGTATCTGCGAGACTGCGATTCTTTCCTGTGGCCCGAGGAGCTCCTCTTTTACAACATTTTCTTTGCGTATTTGAGGCCACTACTTGCAGGCGGCGGTCCAGGAGATGCTCCCAGCAAGAGCTTTTCCACACGCCTGGCGGACTCGAAGCAGCGAAAAGTTAAAGTGGCGCCCGCAACGCGGGATGTAGGCCTGCAGGTTGAGACAATCCAGTGACTGGCAAGAAGTTTAAATTCTTTACTTCGAGTGATCCCCACCATGACTTTTCAACCTGACAAATTTTCTGGCATGTGTTGATATATCTTACTTCGGCATTCTCTCTGGCATATCTTCTGACTTTCTTTCTGGCATATCTTCTGACATTCTTTGTGACATTCCTTCTGGCATATCTTGTGACATTCTTTCTGGCATATCTTCTGACATTCCTTCTGGCATATCTTGTGACATTCTTTCTGGCATATCTTCTGACATGCTTTTTGGCATATCTTCTGACACTCTTTCCGACTTTCTTTCTGGCTAGCAGAGGCGGCCAAAACAGTCCAGAGAGGCGGACACAGCAGCTCAGAGCTGGGAGACACATGTGAAGGATTGCAAGGCAGAGGCGGACACAGCAATCCAGAGCTGGGAGACAAACGTAAAGGATTGCAACGCAGAGGCGGACAAAGCAGTCCAGAGCTGGGGAAAATATGTAAAGGATTGCAAGGCAAGGCGCAAGTCAGAGGTCGGCGCCGTGAGGCGGACACAGCACTGAGAACCCCAACAGTAAACTGTTTGTGGAAATGCTGCATGGCCAGCGCAAAAGAGCGGACGCCAGCAGTGCAGGCTCCGAACCTGGGAAACAAAAGAAAAGAAACCACATGGGAAACAAAGGAATAGAAATGCTGCATGGCCAGCGGAAAGGACGGACACCAGCAGTGCAGGCACCGAACCTGGGAGACAAAAGTAAAGAAATCGCTTGGGAGACAAATGAATAGAAATGCTGCATGGCCAGCGGAAAAGGGCGGACACCCGCAGTGCAG